GATGGGCCTCATGGTACCAAGGGCAAGGGTCTTAACAAGGTCAAAGCACTCAAGGCCCGTCTAGGGATCTAATGAGAAATGAATCCTGCTAATTCGCCAGATCTCAATCCAATTGAGACTATTTGGAGGATAATAAAGCAGCGCTTGAAGTCCAGGGGGGTTATCTTTGAAGAAGCTGTTCTGCGTCAAGCTATCCAGGAGGAGTGGGATAAAATAACCATTGAGGAGATTAATAGGGCTATCTCAACAATGCCAGATAGAGTAGCTGCCCTAAACGAGCGAAATGGGCGCCCTATCCCCTATTAAATAGCTGTGTAGCATAGCAGGAATCTGGAGGCCTGAAGTATTTAATGTTAGTCTGGTGCTAAGAGCAGCTACTACGTAGGTTTTATCACCACAACGTAGTGTTACGATTCGTCACTTTAAAGCTTGTTCTGTGCGCATCCAGTCTGATGAGTCCAATCATTACATCTAACTTCTTTGGAGCATAATTGTTCTGTACAGAGAGGGTTTACAAGTGAAGATACTAGCGCTGAGCTAACATTACTTCAGCCCCCCGGTAGTAGCTGATCGCATCTCAGCCTCACAGCCTCACATTCTCACTTTCACTTAGGCTTCCCCTGAGCAAACATGTGTGGTTCTCACTGTGTCACAGCTGAGAAACAATGTCGCGGACTTTCGGCTGTTGGCTCACATTGTCTGAAGACGAAAAGCTGTCGTGCTTTGAAGCAAAGTCAGCTCCGCGGAGGGGGCTTCAGTACCAAACCCAGAAGCTCAGTGCGTGGCGAGTGGCAGGAAAGTTACAAGAAGAATGGAACAGAATTGCTCCAGAAATCAAGTCGAGGACAGACAATATTAACTTCCGAAGCAGTATATCACCTGGAAACCCTGAAAATGCCCTCATTCGGTGGGAGTTATACCTCGTTGGGAAGACACCAGAGGCAAGCAAGTTGAAGCCTACGATTGTCGCAGAATGCGGAGATGTTGTGTTGGCCAAAAAAGCATGCAAGGCTCTACAAGATATGAAGAAACACTCCCTCGAACCTTTACTTGGGACCTACGACATGCACTATGCACAAGCACAGATTCGGCTTCGGGCTGAACCAAATGGGATTGTGTCTCCATCACTTTCTAGTGCGGATGGCCATTACAGTCTTTGTGGCCAACAAATTATCATTTCTTCGTGTCTCGGGGCTGAGACACCAATCTTTACCACTTCTACTATTGGCGGGGCTATCCTTATCGGCGGTACATATTATGCCTTAACTGCGGCGCATGCTTTTCCCGAGCGTATATTTGATCGTCCAACGAGCAACGAGGGCGCTCAAATCGGCAAAAATCCTCCGCATCCAGGTGATGAAAGTCTCAAGAACGATGCCACCGTCTCCGATTCTGCACCTACACCTCGCGGTTTGCTCCGTCTCACAAGGTCTGTATACATACAAAAATGTGATCGCAACTCGATCAATCCGGAAGACTTGAGCATACCTGCTCAACCGTCAACCGGAGCTGCTGCGCTCATCAACAGTGCGTCACAACATGTCATGCTCAATCGCAATCAAGACTGGGCTCTGGTGCCCATTGAAAATTATCGATTCATGTGTGAGAACAAATTCACATCACCTACTGGATCAATCCTCCACGTTACTGGCATTTCCGAAAATATACCACCTGGTCCAGTCATTATCGCCACCGGCGTTTCTGATCCTGCAGTTTCAACAGTTTCACAGACTACATCGCTGCTGCTCCTACCTGGATGCGAGCAGCTTCAGATCGTGTGGAGTGCGGAAAAACCTAGCGGTAAGTGCCTCTTATGCGAGTCGGTGGGGAGATTGTTAATGATGTACATGTAGCACCTGGAGATTGTGGCTCCTGGGTCATAGATGGAAATGGTAAAGTGTGTGCAATGGTCGTTGCAGCATCGGAAGACGATGATGAGATATATTGTTTGCCGCTTGCCCCAATATTTCGCAACATACAGGAGCAGATCGGAAGCGAGGGACAACCAGAGATGCCTTTGGATGACGAGCTCTTAGCCAAAAACGATAAAGACTCTTCCGTCGACGGCCTTCACAAAGGTCAATCACTCACCGTAATCGGTTGGAGATCTTTGTTGAGCGGAGATTCGAAAAGTACTATGAATGGCTATACTCCAATCCGGCAGGAGCGCTCCACCAATGTTGATGTCCTCATCGAACCAGAGTTTTCCCAGTCGAAAACCGGCCCAAGACATGCAGAGCCTGAGCGTGATATCCAATCTACAATACCAGGGATGCAAAAGGAAGAAGCAGTATCAGTGACGACCACATCAGCGGCTCAAAATGAGACGGAGAAATCAATAAAAGTTGGGGAACCATCTGCAGGCCATGATTCGCAGATGGAAAAGCAAAATACGCGTTTAAGCTCCAACAGAGACTCAGAATCACGATCTCTTTCAGGGCCGGGGATCAATCAGAAATCGCAAGACAAACTAGCGACCGCCACGACATTGAGCTTTCAGTCTCCAGAGCTTGAGTCCCGCAGCCCTCCTTCGCGTGAGCGGGAAAGGGAGACCTTCGTTCGAGAAGAGATTCGGGAAAGGCCAAGATCTCCCCCTGCTATCTTACGAGAAGAGCACATTGTAACCTCAGCTGATCCAGTAGTCTTAGCTCGGAGAGCACAAGAAAACTTTAAATTTGTGCCTCGACCTCGTTCTCGATCCCCGTCTCCCGAACCGGAAAGGAAGGTGGGAGGAGATGATACCATTATAAGAGAAGAGCCAAAGATAATATCGAGACCACCATCTCGGACCAGCGAAAGCGAACAAGACGAAAACGGAGAAAGGATCATCTTTCGCCGGCACAAGAGAATTAATGATCGGAGACCTCCTCGTCCTCCTCGTCCTCGTGAACGTGATGTGCAACCTCCGCCTCCAAGAGAGGTGAATTCCTCCAGAGACATTCGCCGCGATAAAGATGACCGAGGAGACGTAGAGAACTATAAGCTGAGGCTTAAAGCCCGCTTTCTCCAACTTGGTGAGTCACGAGACGCTGTAGCTTGTCGAAATAACAATATCGCAGGTTATTCGCCAGGACAGATCCAAAGTCTACTTGAGGTAGAGAGCGACAATACTCAAAGTGCTACTGAACGACCAAAGGCGACTCATCAAACGAACACTTTCTCCAGCAACCGACCGGGTCCCCAACCTGCCACTCGACAAACCCCGCACCAGCTGGCAGACCGCCCGTTCCACCACCCTGATCATATGGATATACCTAAGCCCTCGTACAGGCCATCAGACTTGCATAATTCTCGTCATCCATTCAGCAGCCTCGATCGCTTCAAGAAAGTCAGTCGGAAGGATATCTCCCCCCAGTCTCTCGAAGAATTTGGCATTCAGTGGCATTGGGACCCTCACGACGACTACTACATCAGGATGGCCTTAGTAAGTGATTCCCAAATGCAAAGACTCCGAGAGCATACGCAACGAACTTTCAACGGAGACAGCGCCAACAAGATAAGGTCCCGTCCTCCCTTGTCAGGTCCAGCAGATACATATGTATATGCTCCTTGGAGGCGATATGTCGACGACCTCGACATCGATAGGTATGACGATCGCCGCCAGTATCGAGAATCTTTCCACGAAACTGAATATCCGGAGCGACGTCGATCCATATCTCGTGTTCACACTACCTTTCCAAGAAGACAAAGATCACAAGATCAACATGAGCGGGAGATGGCATTTGCAAGAAGACTGCGAGAACATGAGCCTGGAATAGCTATCCGGGCGGTTGAAGAGAGATACCGAAAACAGGTCGAACAGCAAAAATCCATCGATTCTAATTGTCGGGTGCTGGACCTTGAATTCGAAGCAATGGTGCAAGATCTTTTTTGGGATGCAGGAATATCTCCAGAGACGTGTGATACTCTGATCAAAATGCACCAGGATAAAGAAGCAAAGATAAGAGCTCACAGCCACGGCGGAGCACACCACAATCATAGCGCTGATCATTGCAGCAATTGCAATGGTTCAACAAGTGCAACTCCAGGGGGCAAAGGAGAGGAAGATGACAAAAACAGGGAGAGGCTGACCTGTTCCATGAAAGTTGAGATCGACGGAGTCATCATGCCTTGCGCCAAAACATTCCGAGAAGATGATGCACTGAGGAGACATGAGCAAAATCACCTTTCGCAGGCGCCATACTATGTGGAAGAATCGGGCGAAGTTAAACGACCCTTGCAAAGGCAAGACAGCCCGAGGACTGGATACACCGACATCAAGCGCTACGTTGAGCGAGTTGAAGACCCAGACACCCGCTATATGCAGCGTGTGAGGGAATACTCATAAAACTCAATGGTGATAGTACTTGTGCTACTTTCCGATACGGGTATGGCTCTGTCAGTCTACAGGTACCTGCGGCAAGCCCCAAGCTGGCGATGCTCAACCCCGTCATTCCACACTGCTCCTCCCCCACTGTCCTTCTCATGGCTTTCAATAGGGTGTAGAGGGCGTACGAACTGGCTGCAATCTGCGCCAGACAGTAAAGCAGGTAACCACAGGAAGCCATGGTACGAACTTAAAGGGAAAAGAACACTAGCCTACTAGGTCAAGTGTATTTAATATTGAGCTAGCGCACTACTAGCTCTCCTTCGCCCTACAGCATTCAATGCGTCCTCGGAACATAAACACGACGGTGGTAATAATAGACGATCTAGCTCTCCGCCCGGGTTGTCAAGAGTATGGCGCTTAGATATCCTCCCTACAAGGCATTTGGCGAGCTCTCGACTTTGCACTGGGCGATGAATGATGGATTTTCCGATCCCAGGGGCGGCGTCGTGTCCTTGATGACCTAAATAGATGTCTCCGGCTCACGTGGTATCACACTTGCAAACCTATGAAAGGCAAAGCGGGCAAGTTTGACCTCGCCTAGGTATGTCGGTTCAACTAGGCCCTCCTTTTCAATGTGCTCGCAGCTCCTTCTAGCTCTCTACTTCTCATGGACAGGCAGTCCATTCGGCCCTGAAGTCTCCTTGCGCTCTCTCGAGGTTGAGGGAAAGTACCTATGATCAAAAGAATGTCCCCGCCAGGTGGTATCAGACATAGCTTTTGTTCTGGTTGTTTGTGAGGCTTCGTGCTGCGAAATCTGGAGATGACATGTAAAGAGCGGCCTTGGCCTATACATGACACGATTAAAACAGCGAGTACTCCAACTAACTACGAGGTATAACACCGCTCAACATCCCCCAAAGTGTCCTCATTCCAGCTGGATCCTGAGCCAAGAGCCCAAGCCTCTTCGCTCTCTCAATGCACTCCGGGTCTTCGTTCAGCTTCCTCACCGTCCGTGTTCTATCCCTCTCATAGACCGTGATATCGTCCTCGCTCACGCCATAGTTTGATGTCTCAGGCTGACAACCATCCCATATAAAATCAATCCAATGCTGCTGCATCGCTTCTACCAGTGCCTCGCTGCTTGGCTCGGCTTTGGCGAGATCTTCGTAGAAAGCGTCAAAGATATAGAGAAGATCTACGCAATGGTGGGCCAGGGTTGAGAGTATACCGGAGAATGGATTCGTGTATTTAATCCTGTAAGCTTGGACTTCTGTTGCAATTTCCCCCGCGATGCGGTTATGAGAAGCGAGGGAACGTATTGCGCTGTGCACTGGGAGGCCAAACTTTGCGTCTGTCATGAATTGCAATAGACATCGATGCAATTCTTCAGTCTGGCTTTGTGCTGTAATATGATAAGCTTCAAGGACTGCCTCAACCAGTGATTTGGACGTGTAGGCATGTTCGATGACGGATCTGATTTCATCGTAAGACCGAATCTTGGAGATCGAGTCCAGCCATATCATACCCTGCGACATATCAGTCGGTTGACCAGGATGGATCATGGAAGAGCTGCATGCTTGATAGCGTTCAAGGATCAAATCTCACCTCGCCATCACAATCACCGATGAGAACTTTGATGGGCTCATCCTCCATGCCCTGATTCACGGCATCAGATCTAGGCTCCAGAACAACTTTGACGCCTCCGTCGGGCAACATGGTCACTGTCTTGTTTTCCGCTACTAATGGAAAGCTGAACCATTTGATTTCGCCGGCTATACGAACCATGTCAGAAGCAGGCATCTTCCGGAGGAAGTCAACTCGCTCCTTTTCACTTTTGTGCGTGATGTGCAGATGCTGACATAGGTACATCCACCTACTATCAGCTTCTTCCGCAGAAATCGGCCCTACGGTGCCCATGGCTCCAGACTGAACAATTGCTCTCTGAAACAGTGGCTTCCGAGGGTTTGATTTGGCTTCCAGGACCTGGGCATGAACGGAAATGCCACCAGCCGACTGTCCTGCAATAGTGATACGATTGGGATCACCTCCAAATGCGGAAATGTTCTTCGATACCCATTGCAGCGCCACGTGCTGGTCCTGAAGGCCAAAGTTGCAACCTTTGAACGAAGAGTCTGACTGAGTTTCGAGAAGCTCCGAAGATGCGCCAAAGCCAAACAGGTTGAGGCGATAGTTGATGTAGACGGCTATAAACGGCTTCCCTACTTTCACAGATTGGAGGATGACACGAGAAGGATCTAGGGTGCATTAGAAACATGGTCAAGAAGCGTAAGGTATTTGGAAGCAACATGCTGTTCCGTACCCCAGGGAGGATCACTTCCAGCTCCATAGCCATACCCTCCCCCATGGATCCAGACCATGACCGGTAAGCCATCCTCACCGGTGCTTCCTGCTTGGTGAAGCGCAGCAGCACTCGGTCTGGCGATGAAGAGATTCAAACAATCCAACTCCGACTCCGCGACTTCCGAAGAGTAGTCCAAGTGCGACTGGAAGATTTCGGTATTGTTTGGTTCAGCCGGCTGCGGGCATTTGGGTCTTCTGGGGCGTCAGCCACGAAGGCGGAAATTGCTGGTGGAATGGAGTACCCGTGACGACTGCCATCGAAGCTGTCGCAGGGAAGATGATCTGCAAGCTTCGGACTCTCCCATCTTTCGGTCACGATACCATATGGTATCCCACGGAATTCTTCTACGTCGGAAGAATGGGATGACCGTATGCCTACAATCTGCTGGACATTTGGTGGGACAGAGCTTGATGGCAATAGGATTTTGACATGTTCGGTAACCATGATGGCCGTCAGGCTTGTACGTGAAGTTCTACTGGGTACGAAGTACTCAAGCTGTTCCGCGACCAATGAATGATATCCGTGTTATAGGTACATGTTGAGATAGACAACCGGGAGCTCGCGGGTGATGATTGCCTCATTGGGCAGGGTAAAACCGCCAAGAAATCCCGCCAAGCCGAATATCGACCTCTACTACTATTACTAGTAAGCTGTCTTCTTAGAAGTAGAGTTGTGCGGTGCTACTCTCGTGACATACAGCAGATGGAAGAAATCAATGCCGCCCAATACGACTATATGTCCATCGTTACCACATCTCTCTGTCAGGGAGGTTTTGCGGGACCCCTTAACTTGCACAAACAGCAACTCAAGATTAAGCTCTGTTATTCCCGTCAAGCTTGAGATGCCATAATTATGTGGAGACGAGACTTATCATAAGGTGCACCCTTTTCATGAGATAGGCATTAATATGGTGCGTACGATGCGCCGGAAACATAATAAAAAATATTGGGATAGGAAGAGACACGAGGCGACTCATCGGACAATAGCCCCGTTTGTGGCTGGAGTGAAAGTGAACAGACGAACGTGCATTTGGCAGGGTAAACCCAACTCGTCCTCAGTCTGCACCCTTAGGAATGATTTAGACCAGATGTAAGCGCAGTAAACCAATTTGAGAAGAGGCAGTCCACAGCAGGAGAGCATGAGGTTTTCTCTCCCATGCTGCCGCACGTGGACCTGAAAGTCTCGAACATATTGATCTGCCACTGTTCATTGGTCATGCATCAGGATTAGTATAGGCCATGGTTCCAGCATCTGAAATGGGAAGCGCGTTTGGTAGAGGAAGTACGAGGCATGCCAGACATGGGCAAGGTCCAAACGGCCTTCCAGGGCGAATGTAGTGAGAACAAGCACACCAGTAGCGAGCGGGTTGTAGCCAACATGGCGGGTGTGATCACGATTCATGTGTCTTGACTTCAACATATGCATGCGCTTTCCCGGAGAGGCTCAATACAAGCAAAGCTGACCTTCGCCCTCAATGTATGGTCTGGCATGTTGGTTTGTATTGTATCACCATCACCGGCGTATCCCTTACATTTTGGACTTCAAAGCTTCGTGGAGCTGCTTCAATTTGTCCATATCCCCCTTCTGTGCAGGCCAAGCGATGCCCATTCCTTCCTCAGGGTTTGGTTTGGGAATCATATGGAAGTGCACCTATCAGACCGATTAATTATGCCTGAGGAAATAATATTGAAGGAGCTGTTCTCTTGCGTACATGATCGACGACCTGATGAGCAAGTCTTCCATTGTTTTGCAGGAGATTGTAGTTCTCGGCACCCGTCGCACTAGCCAGCTTTTTGACCACAGGTAGGATCTCGCTGAGTTGATCGTCAGGGATATCGGTCAACTTCGCTCCATGATGCTTTGGTATAACGAGCTGGGAGGCTTGTCAGTCTCGTTGAGTCGCCTGTGAAGCAAGCAAGGAAGTAAGGTGTGGATCAGCTTGGTCGGAGGTTCGTGGAGAGTTGACGCATAGCACGAGGGCTTACTGCATGGCCTCTACTTAGAGGCTCGATGTCAAGAAATGCGAGGATTTTGTCGGACTCGAAAAGTTTGAAGGAAGGTAAATCACCTGCAGGGACTTGTTATCGAGGTGCTCATCTTCAAAGGCTTGCCACGTGCTGAATGTAATCATGCTGTTTAGGCTGCAGGAATCAGCAAACCTTTTATGATCTTGCAAAAGATGCAAGCCGCCATTCTGTCTGGACATAGATGATTTGTCCAGAGTGCACTTGAGTACTTCAATCACATCCCCGCACTGTGGATCTAAGTAATACTTAGCTAGTTGAGCATTACAGGGCTAGCCTGATTGGAAAAAGTCAAATTACTTAGTATTACGTATGAGTGAGTACTAGTACACCTACAACCTTTGCGCAGTTTCACTCCCAAAAAGCGCTGGCAGTGCCCATGAAAAACAAGAACATGATTCTTCGCCATCGCTCGTCTCAAAATCAAACAGGAACAGTTTCCAGCACTTGGGTCCGTCCTTTTGTCAACTTGAACGCCTGTCGGTAGTACAAGCTAAACACCTTGCCCGCCCTAACATTCATCTCTTTCCTAGCAGTCAAAAGAGCGCCACGCCAGGCAAACACCGTTGCTAAACTCAACACTTTCCTTTGGTTGGTGTCTTCTGAAGTAGTTGCTCAGAGCTCTTTTCCGTCAGAACTATGCGGCAACAGGGGTGATCGAGGGCTGAACATCGTATAACAAATGTTTAGAAGCTCTCCTGCTTGTTTCGGAAGCCAGGTCTGTCGATAAATCTGCCACCGGAGTGTGAGGATCCGATTCAAATGTGTACTGGCGCGGAATGCCAATCTTTTGGTTCATGCTTGTCAACGCATCATATGTCGCTTTTACAGCAGGGACTGACACGCCAACAGCATCGGCTTGTCTCCAAATATTACCTTGCCTTCTGTTAGCTGTGAAGCTTCTGAGTCGGGTCGTCACAGGTATCATACCACAGAGTGCCTCGACTTCCATCTGGCGTCCATCTCTGGCATCCTGTAGCATCGAGGGTACAATAGGTGCCGGGCTTTGTAGACAGCTTATCGTTCTCGAAACCGAATCTGCAGGGAGATTGGCCCCACTCCGACTAGCAACCTCGTATATTTCCTCGGCCAAACGGTGAGCCAGGGTCAAAGAGGGAGAATCTTGCAGGAGCTGATGGGAATTCAGGCCTGTCAAGGCCGACACTGGGTTTAGCGAACCATTGAACATCATCTTCGTCCACCGCTCCGTGTTCACGTCCTTGATTGCTTTGAATTTGCTGTCCAATGACACTAATTTTTCAAGCTTATTGTTCTCCGATTGCGTGTCAGTGCTACCAGAGTGATAAGTGCCAATGGCGAATGCAAAGGGTCGAATCTGGGTGAGTTGTTGCACCTGTCCTGGCAATGGTTGTTGACAGCTAGCGTAGCAGATGGCGGACAGGATGGTATTGCCCTCAAACATATGCTTTAGGGGTCGTTCAACATTGATACCATTCTGTACAGACACCAGTGTCGTTGTGGGCCGAACTGCTGGTCGGATAGCTTCCGCAAACGAAACTGCGTCGCTAGGTGTCAATTTGTTTGCGCATACTACATAGTCGAAGGCGACATTTTGCACATCCGAGACTGCTTTTACTACCCGATGAGGCCTGAAGGAGCCGTTGCCCCATAACGTTGTTCTCAGATGGATGCCATTGGTTTTGACGCTGGTATAATTCGACCGACACACTGCTGATAGCCTTACGAAAGGATTCTGAGCAAGTCTCCAGCCGAATGTAGACCCCACGGCTATGGCCACAAACGAAAGACACCTGTTAGTTATCTGTACTGTTCCTCAACTCATAAGCAGGGACGTACCACCTGCACCAAAGATCAGAATCTCAAGGGGGCGTTTGTGCATGATGTTGTACCTTGGAGAAATCGCAAGTAGAATTTCAACTCTATATTTCGACCTGGTATCGCGCTTCCTATATGGTTCCTTTTTTGATTTAGGGGAACTTCAACACTTGTTCATTAAGTCTATCTATGGATCGACACGCACTTATAGCACCAGTCTGGTACCCAAGCCCCGAGAGAGCAACAACAACGGGCTCAGTCTCTATAGCAATGACGCAACACACGAGGCTCTCTGTGCTGTGCGTCATTTACCAAGAACCGAGTATCCAGAATTTGCTTCCACTAAGTTCCACTCTATGCACAATCTTGATAACACCGAGTAAGGGTAACGCGACAAGTCTGCAAGCTTACATCACCATGCAGATAATACATAAGAGTCTAGCAGCGAAGAGCTACCTTTTTGCTAAATGAAGGTTTGACGAGCAAAAAGAGAGACCGTCAGCCCCGTCTTGGTTTACTACGCATATCCAACAGGTGACGTAGTCTGAGCCTGGGCACGGGAACGTAGTGAAGAAGGATTTCTAGGACGACACTTTTATCCGCTGATTGGCTCATAGATCTGCCGCTATAACTGTTCCCATGATGATTACTTCCTAGTAGTAGTGGTAGTGGTAGTAGTAGTACGGAGTATTCAACTTCAAAACGGTCACACTGCATGCCAAGATGGTTGTCGGCCTTGGCAGGGGGAATTCGCTTCGACCTTCAAGTTTTGCCGCACGCCTTGCAGGGAGCGTACGGCTACAGCCTTGACACTTATCCTCAACACAATTACCATCGTACCGGGCAGAATTTTCCATAGCTCGGTGCTAGTAGCCGCTACTTCTGATACAGCGCTGTGGGGCCTTGGCGCCTGTGGAGCTATCTTCTCCGAACTTTGTATTTTAGATTCCTAGCTATCCACTCCGCGGGCAAGCAGGGGCTTGGAATGCCTCAATTAGCGCTGTCGATCTTAATGATTCGATGTTGCCACAAGTCTTGCATATCAACGTCTTTACCCATCTTCTTTGAGAGAGGACATCATCAAGAGTAGGCTGATCCAGATATTCTTAGATTATATATCCTAGATGCCTGCTTATTTGAGAGATTGTTGTGAGGAGTTTTCCAGGTACCTTATTTGAGCTTAATTTTTGCGATATACGCTAATTGAGGCCTTGCCCGCAGGGTGATACACACTACCAATTGACACATTGACTGATTCTGCTCCACAGAGCCACATTGATGTCTAGAAGCTTTTTGGACGATATTCCATTATTATTGGCCACAGCAGTATCACTTAACTGCTCAAGGCTTAGCTGATTCGTTGTACGGAGCAGTCCGTTTCTTGACAGAGATACTAGCGCCGAGCTATGGATACTTCTGCCTGGTACCGTGGTAAGGTTGCGTCTTGGGTGTTTACAGCAAGATCGAGCCAATGATAATTACAGGTGTTCCTTCCTACAGTGGCAGATCACGAGGCTCTACATCGGTCGGGGATTGCATTGTCTGGCACTAGGTGTTGGAGGTGCATATCCTGAATCTCCCACACCTACACCCCAACCAGAATGGCAGAGTGCATAATACAAGATGTGCAGATGTAATGTGCATGACCGCTGCAGCGGCATACTATTTCAAGAACTTGATTTTCATTTCTCAGTAAGAAATAGCGCTATTTTCTCATCGCTCGACAAGGGTCACCCCAAGCCAATGGTGCTAAGTCTGACGAAGTGCTCTGCCATGTATTGTACCCTGATGATAGCCCATGACCATCGTCCGACGGGAAGATCTGCGGGTCACGTATGTACAGCCATTCCTTACCTTACTCTACATCGTGTTGGTACCCTCTCTGTATCTCACCCAGTACAGTGGCCAAAGGTTATATAAAAGAACTTGTGGTAACAATTTCAACACTTCCAAACGAAACTCCATCTCCTACCATTGAATCGTACCAGAAAAATAAAGCGCTGCGATGAAAGAAAGACAAAAAACTTCTTCCAACATACTACCAAGTGGTTCCACCATTTGGGACCTGTTGGATAGAGCAGCTCAGAAACATCCACAAAATGGCCTGATATTTCCAAGCCACGAGCTTGAACAGCCTCCAACCACTGTCACCTACTCTGAACTTTGTTTTGAAGCTCTGGTGGGTGTTTCGAAACCCGGTTGTATAGCGACTGGCTAACATTTTTAAGAAAAATGGAGAAGCCCTTCGGTACTCTGGAACAGTAGTTCCTGGGGACATCGTTACCACTTATTTCGACAACCACCAGGAGAATATCATCTGGTTCTGGTCCGTTGTTGCTGCCGGAGGTATACCCGCAATTTTGAGCCCACTTGCGAAGGACTCGAAAACTCGAGTGGCACAGCTAGAACATGTCATTCGGCTTCTTCAAACGCCGACCATCGTCACTAGCAAGCGGATGGTGCTGCATCTTACAGGGTCCGAAGGACTGCGAGTTACGACAACTGAAAGCCTGCGGGAAGCAGCTCGGTCGAAGAACGAAACCAATGGTAGCACTAAACGCAAGATGCTCTCTGAAGAACCGCCAACGAAGCGCAACAAATTAAGGACATGTAAATCTAACCAAGTACGCAATGATCTGGCCGTGCTGCTATTTACATCCGGAAGCACGGGCCCTGCAAAAGCTGTCGAGCTTTCTCACTCGCAACTCATAGCCTCTGTTCAAATGAAATCTGCCTTGCATGGTGTCGGCCCCAATATGAATTTTATGTCCTGGGTTTGTAAGTGGATATAAATTGAGGAGAGTTTCAACATCTAATATCAATTCACAGCGTTTGATCACTCTGCCAACTTTTGCGAGATTCATCTGAATGCGCTATACTCCGGTTCAAATCAAGTCCATGCGGCAACAGCTAATATGGCTACCGAGCCGGCCAGCTTCTTCAGTATCTTGAACAAATACGAAATCGGTTACACCTTCGCACCAAATTTCTTTCTGGCCGCAGCTTTCAAAGCATTTCGAGCTCAAAAGGATCCTCCACTTTTAGACTTCTCCAAACTGTCAATTATAATGACAGGGGGCGAAGCCAACAAAGTTTCCACTATAGCAGCGGTGGATACGTTGCTTGTGAAATATGGAGCCAGTCCGAACACGATTAAATCGTCCTATGGGTTAAGCGAGGTAAGTCAAGACCAGCTTGATTGGTGCGCAATCCCAATATTCCTATCTGTCTCAAGTTAGTGATTTGGAATTTTGCTATCAGTCTTCCACCTATGCCAATAGTCCATATTGACTTGCTGTTGCTATATGTTCCTCCGCGAGCAGGCTTGTTAACTCAAATACAGACTTGCTCCGCATGTTTCTACAACACAGAATGCCCCACATACGATCTTATGAAAGACTATACCTTTGCTTCAGTAGGCAAACATGCCCGCGATGGCTCTCTAGAGCTCCGTATTGTGGATGCGTGTGGACGTAAACAAGCCCCTGGAGTGACTGGTGCCATCCACTTACGTGGAGAGATTGTTTTCAGGGGGTATTTCAATGACAATAATGCCACGGATGCATGCATGACCTCGGACGGCTGGTTTGACACTGGAGACACCGGAGTTGTGGATGAAAATGGCAACCTTCGGATAGTCGGAAGATCCAAAGAGGTGATTATCATCAACGGCAATAATTATTCTTCGTTTGACCTCGAGCACGCTATCGAATCACGCGTTATAAAGGGTCTGACACCTTCATACACCGCCACATTCTCCTCTTTGGACCCAAGTGGTGATAGTGAAAGCGTTGTGGTCCTCTTTAATCCTGCAGACCATATCGTCGATGCTGCCGTTCAAGATACGATAGACGCGATCAACATGGCGGTCGTTGCGTTTTGTTCAAAACCAGCCCTCGCAGTCATTCCTCTTCCGAAAGACCAAATGCCAAAGTCCACAATTGGCAAGTTATCGCGCCGCAGGCTCAAACAGTCATTCGAAGCTGGATTATTTGACCAATATCGAACACAGAAGAGATTGGAGCCGGCCTATGAGCACAATGGCGACGAGAAGCAAGAATCGAAATCTCTCAATCACCTATCACCACTCGGAAGACAGGTTGCGGAAATATTCTCTAGAGAAACGGGGATACCTCAGGTGAACCTTGCAGGCGACAATGCTTTACTTCGTTCGGGTCTTGATAGCTTGGGGTATATGCGCATCAAGAAATCACTTGAAGGCGCATTCCACATTCACCAAGAGATACCCATGGGAATGCTGTTGCGCAGTACATCTATCCAGGAACTAGAGACATCATTACTGTCTATAGGGACTGCTCCACTGGAGTATGATCCTATCGTTCCTCTGTCGCTGCACGGCTCGAAGCAGCCATTGTTCCTCTTACATCCAGGATCTGGTGAGTTCTTGTGCTGGATGCGCTTCTTACCCTTCTTACCTGATCGGCCAATATATGCTTTGAGAGCTAGGGGAGTTTATGAAGGGGAAGGGTCGTTCTCGGATCTTGAGGAAATGCTGAGGTACGTTTAATATCAGTGAAACTCGTCTTCCCCATCACCCAGTGGGAATAAACAACCTTTGACTTTTTTTTAGCTGTTATCTGGAAGCCATCAAACGTACTCAACCTCACGGACCATATGCAATGCTTGGGTACTGCCTTGGGGGCATGATTGCCTTTGAGCTAGTCAAGAGGCTAGAAGCCCTGGGGGATGAAGTTTCGTTTGTTGGTGGAATCGATAATCCTCCGGACTTGAAGCTTATCATGGGCCGCCTTCAATTCCGCACGTTGATGATAGACCTTCTTCCTCAATTCACTTCGTATACGAGGGAGGAAGCCGACGACTTTGGCCTACAAACAGCTCATGTAAGTCTGCATTCTCGTCCAAGCTTTCGAATGAGCCTATGTGTACTGAATGAACCTAGAAATCAGACAAAGAATTCTTTTATGAGTTGTATACCAAATTCTCTCCCGAGTTCCTTGAGGCGATGGACCTTACGCCGGCCCGACTTGCAGCTCTGGGCCGTGTAGAGAATTCCATGAGGCTCATGGCAAGCACCTACACTCCTAGCGGGTCTATCTCCAAGTACGACTGTTTCTGTGCAGATCCAATGCCGCATTTCAATGCCTCGCCCGAAGAGTGGAGAAAAGATGTCTTGGCTACTTGGAGGGAGTATTGCGAAAGTGACGTCAGATATCATGATGTCGACGGCAATCATTCCACAGCGATGAAAGAGCCTCATCTGCGGGTAACTCAGGCTAAGATCAACGAGGCTTTGGTAGCACGAGGAATATAGTACACGTAGTTGGCTGTAGATTAGTCTATTGTTGGTACTTGGCGCTTGCGGAGTCTTTTCTAGTTAGGAGTTTGCATGTAAATTTTCTTTTTACTTATTAGAACCATATCACAGTTGACATGTTTGAGTTTTAGCGCTGCACCAGCGACTTGAACAAGGACTCCTCAACAATAGGCTCATGTTGCCAACGCGAGTTGAAAAATGGTTGCAGATTGGCTGGCGGTGGGTAGACCTGAATGATCTGTGAATCGACAGTGTACGAATGCATACAGCTGTGTGATCGTCCGCACATCCGCGTAGAAACATCATGTGCCAGAGGTCGCATTGCTGATCATATGTCGAAATGATCATGGAAGGTATGGTGTGAGTTTACCACACCATATGGCTCATTTCGTATGCAGAGGCTGGTGCAGAGGCTGGTGCAGGCTGGTGCAGAGGCTGGTACAGAGTCTACAACCCTTCCGTGTCTCTCTGCAGCCACTGACGACATAACAGTTCAAGCTGCATAATTCCTCCTCATCTTTCTCTCGATGGTCAGCCTCTTTGGGTTACAAGGATTCGCTGCAGCGTGGTAGTAATTGCCTAGCCAAGGAGTAGTGTCGGTAGAAGACGTGGCCCGGATCGTACAGTAGCTGTACTACAGTACCATCATGCTTTTGCAGGTGTCACTGCTGGTTGGGTACACTGAGCTAGACCATCAATACCACTTACCTCTTCTTGGCTTAGCCATCTCGTTTGAGAGCTGTTCCGGCACACAGAGACTAGTCCCAAGCTTACATTGACTACTCGTGCCGCTTCGTGCCGTAGTATTAGTTGTACTCCTCGTGCAACAGAATCTGCTTAGCACGTGCCTTTCCAGACTGCAGATCCCCCCGCATTGACAGGGGCAAGTCAGAGTGCAAATCCCTCACACTGGGTTAATTAAGTCAGAACTACAACAGAACCAGGAGTGCAACACTATCCCTGAACAGACGCTGAAAAACCTTGGTTGCAGAATGCCAGGATCCTGCCTTCCGTCGTTTTGCAAGTCTCTGTAACGTCTACACTGAACAAATCAGACCTCAATTATGTGCTCATCTTGCCAGGGAATTCTCAAATCCCATGGAGAATTGATGCCAATGTAGGCAATTGGGAACCAGTCAATCCACTTGGATTCCAGGAGTTGCACTTCTGGTCCCGGTGCGGTACGGGATCAATTATTACTTATCTTCTAGTGCCCTAAGGTTGAGGATCGGGCCAGACAAGAGGCCACTTCTTCCATTAACTATGACGTTCCTGCTCCTGAACCATGTCGCCGTTTCCACCTCTGTCAACCGAACCGTTACTGCAGCTCGCGGCAGGTGGGGCTTGTACTACATGGTATTAAAATGCGAATGCGAATCATCCCGTGTGCAACGGGCCAACGGCTTTGCATGCATGTGCCAACCACTTCACCAGCCTCGTTTATATATACCGCAATCATACCTTGCAGCTGCCAACGGGTACCTTCGAACGAAATTGTGCACTTCCATGGACTGAATCCTGCCCATGTTTCAGCGACTCTTGCCATTCTATGTACCACGTCGTCATCATGCAGCAAAAATGCAACCTCGGATGCATTGGTAAGATATTTTCCGAGGTCAACTGACTGCAATGCCCCTGAATCATGATCCAGCCAAAGCATCTCATCGTGCTATGTGTTTTGAGCAGATGTCTCGGGCAGACGTTTTACGTGCAGTGTTACACTTGAGATAGCCCCTGGCGATCCGTTACACACTCTGATCACAAGGCCTAGTTCCTTACACTGACGTCTAAACAAGTGAAAAGCTTGTGCGGCATATACAGCAAGATCAACCTCGCCTGTAATGCTATACTGCATATACTGTAGCCATGACGTGACCAAGACCTTCCGTTGACAGCAAGGCCTGAAGCTCTAGCCCTTACTATCTTCGTATTTACGTTCTCACAGGTGTCTATTTATCACGCGGCCTCTGACAACCACAAATCGAGAAATTTTGTACGCTGAAACTTCTTCTCCCGCGAAACTTGTGAAGCCAAAGCCATTCATCCAGTGCATTTAAATCTAATTCAACCCTTCGTTTACCAGCTTATGGCGGTGGACCCTGACTTCGTCCGCCCAACAACAACCTGCTCTCCTCACATTATTCCGCTCACCCCACTCGATCAGGTGGCCTTTCGCCTCTACATATCCTTTATTCATTGTTTCCCGCTGCCGGTGAGGACAGACCAGAAGGCTCTCTATTTGAGGCTGAGACACGGTCTGTCTGAGACTGTATCTGAACTACCCTTTCTGGGCGGATGCATAGTTCCAGAAGTAAGAAGAAGTGACCGAGTCCAAATCCAGATCAATGAGGGATATGGTATCAGATTCCCGTACAGAGACTACACGGACGCGTCCCCTCAAACTTCATGGCGAAGATCCTACGAGGAGCTGAAAGCGGCTCATTTCCCAATCTCAGCACTCGACGCCCGAAAGCTCTCGCCAGTAGACCCCATTCCTACGTCTCCTACGCCACCAGTTATGGTTGTACAGGCGAACTTCATAAATGGAGGTCTGCTGCTGACGACCAGCATACATCACTCAGCATTGGATGCGACTGGCTTTGCAACGGTCCTCAAGATCTGGGCAAATCACAGTAGAGGGGATTACGACACAGGTGGCATCGTGTCTCTTACTACACCCAACTGGAGGGCAATGGATAGATCCGTGCTTATGAAAGGGCATGCTGAAGCTAACATCAGAGACTCCCCTGTATTCAGGGTACGTGACGGTCCTGAGTTGACTGTAACACAGCGATCGGGAATGGTTCCGGCTTGTCCTGCAAAAGAAATAAGTATCTTTTATTTTTCGCCATCGTGTCTAGCACAGCTAAAGCTAGCTGCGTCATCGGACAACCCCACAGACCGCTGGGTATCTACCAACGATGCTTTGTGCGCTCTTCTCTGGCGTCACATAAGCCGTGCTCGGGGCTTTGGCTCATTAGACTCTGGAGGTCAGGGCACCCTACCAGTTCAATTTACGCTTGCTGTCCAAGGGCGACAACGTCTCGCGCCACCTTTATCCCAAGAAATGCTGGGAAACGTCGTTACCTTGTGTCCGGCAACCCTAGACATCAACACTCTAACCTCGCCATCCTCTCCACTTTACCACGTGGCTAGCACGTTGCGGAAGGCGATCAACAAGATTGATTCTGCCTATCTCAGGGGAACAATAGGAATGATTGACTCAGTATGCGATCTCCAGAATCTAGAGCTCTCAGTCTTCGATAACCCACTACGCGATCTTCTTGTGTCGAGTTGGTCGGACTTGGGCCTGCTTCAGGTGGACTGGGGTCAAGGGGTTGGACGGCCAGAGTGTATGAGGATCCCGAAGCAGCCATCGACCGGTGGAATTGGCGGCGCTGGGATATTTCCTAGACTGCTCGATGGGGGGCTAGAAGTCTTGATCGGCGTCGAGGCAGAGACGATGAAGCGTCTGAGGGCTGATGAGGAATTTTTGAGATATGCCGAATGGAGATGCACATAGTGTACGGAGTAGATCTGATGGATATACTATTATTGTCTTCGGGAAATGAAAGCTTCGACAGACCAGCGCCACAGTAAGATCTTGCAAACCGTGATATCTTCCCCCCCGTTTTCCCCAGTTGAAAAGCATAAAATGCAATACATTATATCTAACGTACGTCCGGAATGCCAGCCACTTGGTATGTTAATGCTTATCTTGTCAACCCACCTGACGATATCCATGTAGCATTGGCGACGGAAAGGCAAGACTATACACACAATATACAGTCATCCGGGAGAGAAGGGAGGCGGACGGAAAATATGAGAATAGCTGGTTGAAGCCAGGGGTCGGATCTTGGCGGTACTGTGAAATCATACGTAGTAAGTAGAAAAGGTGCTTCCTTAGGTACAATACTAACTTAGTAGTTATAGAGCTAGTATCATCACGTGCCATTGGCGGTGGCTAGGCAGCCAAGCAATGTCACGTGTCATACCAAGCTTTAGCCCGAATATCACCGTACTACTACTATTGGTTAATCTGGCAGGGGTTTGAAGTGGAACTTGGAGCTCAACTTCAGAGTTTCGTGCTGCGCTGCATGAATATTAGTTGGTCGTCGAAGTCTTATCACCACTTGCAAATGGCTTCCGACTGGGCTGTGGAAGGATTCAGTGTTGTACGATGTCACTTCTCGGTGTGCAAGTTACGCATTGCGGTTTACATGACGCCTAACATGCATACAGTGACCTCTCTCCGCCGGCTGCGCTCTCATCCCCGATTACATAAGATACCGCCATATATATCCCTCCTCTGCATAGTTGGAGGTATCATCTGGTTATTGCTCCTCCCCCTGAACCGGTACTCTCGACAGACATACATCTCCGAAAATGCCCTGCTCCCAGGCCAAGTTCATACCTATTTTGCTGGGAGCGAACAGAACATCTTTCGAGGGTATCGCGAAGAGCTCAAATCGGTCATAAAAGAGTCTGAAGAAGCTAGACCACAGCACCTGAACGAGGCACACTCATCGAGGGAGAACAACGTTTTATGGATCGACAAGATCAGAGCAATCTTCAAGACTGCAGGCCTTCCGACCGCTACCCAGGACTTTGAGTACCATGCAGCAGGAAACCTCTCTTCTGGAACCAATATATACTCTGTGTTGCATGCACCTCGCGGAGATGGGACCGAAGCCATTGTGTTGCTTGCTCCGCAACAAAATGCTAGGGGTGAGCATAATATCAATGGCATAGCTTTATTGCTTACGCTTGCGCGCTACTTCAAAAGTAAATAGTGTCGATGAATCCTGCTCCATGCCTAAACGCTGATGTTCTCAGGATGGTCTTTGTGGTCGAAGGATATTATCTTCCTGATCACCCCGGACACAGACGGTGGCCCTCAAGCCTGGATATCTGCCTACCACTCGACACACGACCCTCAAACGATAGAATCACTTCCACTCAAATCGGGTGCGCTGCAGGGCGCCATCTGTGTTGATCTTCCCTTCGATCGCCGGTTTGAGAAAATCTCCATCTCGTACGACGGCATCAATGGTCAGCTACCCAATCTCGATCTTGTCAACACCGCTGTCAGCGTCGCGAGTGGTCAGATGGGTATTGGTACCACTATTCAAGGCATGCATCGCCATGACGACTCATACCGAGCTCGTCTCATAACAATGCTCCAGGGTATGACGAGCCAAGCAGTCGGGCACGGTACAGGTGCACACAGCGTGTTCATGCCGTATCATATCGATGCCATCACCCTGACGGCGGCTGGTGATGGTTGGCAAGATGAAATGGCGCTTGGAAGGACCGTCGAGAGCATCTTCCGAAGCTTGAACAACCTTCTAGAACATTTCCATCAGAGCTTCTTCTTTTACCTGCTGATGCAGGCGAATCGCTTTGTCAGCATAGGCACATACCTCCCAAGCGCCATGGCGGTCGCGGCAGGGTTTAGCATCATGGCCATCCATCTTTGGATTAGATCAGGCCATGTCGAAATCCTATCAGAGCTACCGGGTCAGTGCATCAACGCTGAAGCCGACCTTGCAGAAAAGCCATCACTTGAAGCCGACGGACTTGCTCATCCTCCACCAAATCAACAAACCCAACACATCGACCGACAGCTACTTAAACCGATCTTACTTATCCTCCTCGCCCATCTCTCCGGACTCATACCCCTCTACCTCTCACACCACACCACCTACTCCGTAAGTCCCTCCCCTCCCCATGTTACTCTCTTAAACATTCCCACTCACGAGACTAACATCACGATGCAACCAGCACTTACCCCAGACCAGCCTTTTCACCTCTTTCATCCTCCTGATCCTCCCCACGCTCATCTCTCCCCTCTCCACCCCCTTACCAGCTCAACAATACAACCTCACCAAGTCCCTCTCCCTCCTTCTCCTAGGTCTCTCCCTCTCCGCCCTCGCAACCCTCAACTTCAGTCTCAGCCTCGCCCTCGGACTCCTCTGCACACCCATCCTCTTCGCTACCCGAGACCGCAGCATCCCCGGGTACCTGAGCCGGGTGATCCTGATGGTGATTTCGCCGATGGGGCTGTGGTTGCTGGCTTACACGTATTTTGCTTTCTGGGTGGGAAATCCGGGATGGGCGGGAGATGTGCTGGCGCGGATGGCGTTCGGATGGAATGTGTTGGGGGCTTGGGGCGTCGGGGTGGGGATTTGGGGCGTTTGGTGGCCCGGTTGGGTGGTTGTGGCTAGAGTTTGGCTATGACTAGTGAGGTTCGCGAGGGGGAAAGGGGGTAGAGAGGAATTGGGGAGAAGTGAAGCGAGAAAGTGAGGGAAGGATAGAGCTCGAGCAATCTAGCTAGCATAATTTCATGAGTGAATTTGATTATTTTCTATGTACACGCTCTTAGAGCAAGCTATTGGGGGAGTAGACCGTGACCGAGACCGAGATCTGAACGCTTAGAACTACGGCTAAACCCTGATCATGATCTTGTCTGTTATTGATACATGCATAGTCACACACCATCTTACGCTGACACAGTCAGCACACCTAGCACACCTAGCACCCCTCATCTCCTCAGCTGCTCAAAATCCTCCGTCTCCTCGATCCGCACCTTCCCGTCGCGCTGCACAGTCGCTATGCTCAGTTTCGGGGGCTTGCGCACCGTCGTCTGTCCTACCGCTTCCTTCCCCCTTCCCTCTTCTCCTCCTCCTCTCTGACTCTCATCACCTTCGCCCTCCAGCCTGGCCAGCC